CGTGCAGTTTCCCGATCTGAAGTTTGTAGTTAGCCTCCAAGGTATTATCCGGAGAACCGTTGTACCCTCGCTACCTGGCTAAGCATTCTCCTGTTTCTACCTAATTACCAAGTATCAAGTAAGCTTCATAAAGCTGCTATTAATCTTGCTCAAGCAACACCCAAATCCATAGAGTATCGCGACACCATCCTGAACGTTCGCACGATCCATTCAATGAGAATGTCTCCGTTTCAAATTTCCAATTTGCAAAATGGATCTCGAAATTTTAGATTTTGAAACGAACGATGAAGATATCGAGAAACAGAAAAATTCGATCGATTTTTTGTAAATATCTATGCAAAGTGTAAATTTAAACATGTGTAATGCTAGTAGTACGAGTCAACGAGTACAAGATCGATTGAAAGAACAGTGGAAAGCGAAAAAAAGGAAAGCGAAATTTTAGATTTCGAAAGGAGCATGGAGATATCGAAAAACATGGATCGATATTTGTATAAGTGTTAATATCTGTGTAAAGAATAAAAAACGTGTATAATGCTAGTAGTACAAGTTAACGAGTATGAGATTGGTCGAAACAGTGGCCGAAAAGGATGTAAGCGAAATTTTAGATTTCGAAACGACCATAGACAAAAATATGAATCGATATTTGTAATATCTGTGCACAGTGTAAATTTAAACATGTGTAATACTAGGAGTACGAATCAACGAACAGATCAGTCCACACACTCGTCGCAAAGAAGGAAAGCGAAATTTTAGATTTCGAAACGAACATAGATCGATATTTGTGCAAAATGTAAATAATTTAAACGCGTGCGATGCTAGGAGTACGAGTCAACGAGTATAAGATCGATTGAAAGAACAGTGGTCGAAAAGGAGGTAAGCGAAATTTTAGATTTCGAAACGACCATAGACAAAAATATGAATGGATATTTGGAATATCTGTGCAAAGTGTAAATTTAAACACGTGTAATGTTAGTAGTCAACGAGTCAACGAGATCGGTCGAGACAGTGATCGAAAAGAAGGAAAGCGAAATTTTAGATTTCGAAAGGAGCATGGAGATATCGAAAAACGTGGATCAATATTTGTAATATAAGTGTTAATGATCGAAACAATGGCCGAAAAGGAGGTAAGCGAAATTTTAGATTTCGAAACGACCATAGACAAAAATATGAATCGATATTTGTAATATCTGTGCAAAGCGTAAATTTAAACGCGTGTAATGCTAGTAGTCAACGAGTCAACGAGATCGGTGGAACCAGTGATCGAAAAGAAGGAAAGCGAAATTTTAGATTTCGAAAGGAGCATGGAGATATCGAAAAAACGTGGATCGATATTTGTAATATAAGTGTTAATACCTGTGCAAAATATAATGCTAGTAGTCCGAGTCAACGAGGACGAGATCGGTCGAAACAGTGGCCGAAAAGGAGGAAAGCGATCGAAAGCGAAAAACTTAAACTTTTCGTTTTGCCCCATAATTTTTCTCTCCCCAACTTCTGTACGCGGCCGCGTACAGAAAAGTTTCATCCGGAGATAAGATATCGTAATACCAGCGCATTTATCTACCCCGTACATTCCTTCCTTACATTTTTAAAACCCGGTGACTCTTTTATAACCGACCCATTCCTCTCGGCCACAATCGAAACGGCGTCGCTTCTCCTCTCCCGCCAACGATCTTCCCGGGAGGCGAAGAAAGGGGAGGCGAAGAAAGGGGAGGCGAAGAAAGGGGAGGCGAGATGCCGCGTACGATTTCCATTTCTGGCGGCGACAACCGGCAGACAACCGATAACAAGCCGCGCACGCGTTTCCGCGGCGAACCGTAGAACGCATCTGAATTCACGGCGCGGATCTCGCGCCCTCGTAACAATTTTCATTAAACGACCTCAATACAGGGGATTGTACAGTTGAATGCGGCGTTCATCAGGCTTGGTGGTACGTCGGTATCGAGGCGGAGCTCGAGCGTGTCTCGGTCGCTCGGAATGGGCCGGAAAGGGGGAAACGATATTATACAGGCAAAGTTGCCCCCAACTGAATGAAGGAGGCGCGGCGTTGTTTCGTAAATTTGCAACTTACTTTCGGTTTCAGCCGGTTCCCGTCGTTGCGATTCAGTCTCGACTCTGTTCCTGTTATTATATATATATATTCGAAATAGGATCGGACGTGCGCTTTGATTAAAATCAACCCAAATCATTTACTTTTTGGATCGAAGAAGAAAAAGAAGAGTGAAAGAGATTGTCTAGCGTTTAATATATATAAGTTGTGTTTAGTATATAAGAGCGAGTACTTTCGGAGAATTGTCACTGACTTTTCAGAGGTGCAATCGTTCTGATGGCCAGTGCGGAACGGCCATCACCGGAATATAAAAGGAGGAAGAATCAAAGGAAATACGAAGGTGGAAATTAAAGATATATATGTGTACACACGTATTACATTATATATATGGAGAAATGAGGAAAGAGGGTAAATTGGAGGAAATAGAGTTGGTAGGAACGTACAAAGCAAATCGCGTCCTAATTAGAAGATAACATCCGTACTTGTGGGTACTGTGGAACGTGTGCGAGTGCCTCGCGTGATTTACGAGATTGTCACGAGATAATCAACGAACGAGTTTGTCACGATCGCGTAAGTCCTCCACCGTTACTATGGAAATAGCTTCTCGAAACGTCGCGATAATTAACCGGCCCCAATTGACATGGTCCGGAGAGAGCGCGATCCATCTGAGGGGGCGAGACAGAGATACACGTAACGCGATACACGCGTGCACACGGTGTGCAAATGTTGCAAGGGGGGGTTGATATCGTGGAACAAGAGGGCAGGAGGAACGATTGGAAGGATCGTGTTGTATAATTCATAGATGGAGACAGAGACGAAACGGAAGGGAGGGGAAAGTTAGGAGGGAAGAAAGATGGGGAAGGAATATAAATAGGGAGAAAGAGTTTCGTGGAAAAAGATTTTGATGAAAACCGTAGATGTGGGCCAATTGGGATATAAGACTATCGAAAAACGATTAATTCCGGAAGAGGATCATCGGATGAGAAGCGATATTACCCGGGGGAGACCTTTAATTCAACCTAATTGCTCGTTTATGCGAATCTTTGAAATATTCATGAAGCTTTATGAGAATTTTTTTTATCCTCGCGCCGCTCCTTTTGAACTGTATTCCTCCACGGGGATAGGAAAGGTACACCGTAGGTCCAGTTCAATCATTCAAGTGACAAGAAAGGAAACGACAAACGATTGATGATAGCGGAGAACTCGACTTTTACCCAAGTTATTATAGTCGAGAGAGATTAAACGGTTTTTACGAGATGTAGATTTTTTCGAGGAATTGTAGTTTTTATAAAAGAATTTCAACTTGGAAATTGTTCGATGAATAATTTTCGATGATTTTAGATTCTAGAAGAAGGATTATCTAATTGATGTAATTGCAAACTAAATAATAAAAGTTCGAATGATCGAAGACACGAAAGTCCTTTTATAAAAAGGAACGGATAAATTCTGACAGTTGCTAATATATTTGATACGTAACATATACGAATAGATTAGACGATGCTTGGTGTTTATTTATTGAAAAAAATGACGGATATAAAATCGTTGATTGCGAGTTTAAACAGTTTGAGCGGAGAATAAGACGGGAAAATAGATAAAGATAGAATCGCGGAGGATGTCGAGAAATAAAAATTTATGAGGAAACAGGATTTCATCTCTATCGGCCACGATGTATATACATCGAGAATCGCGCGAGAAAAGAAAGATCCTTGAGAGATGTAAAGATATTGTTGGAAAATTGTTGGAGACCATGAATATTTAGAAAAACGGTGAAGGTTCAAGGAAAGAGAGACGACGCGATGGAGTAACTGACTCCCTTCCTCCCCTTCCCTTTTTTTTTTTTCTTTCCCTCTTTCTGGCAGTTCATCGGGAAGAAAAAAAGCGAAAGAGAGTACTTATGTCGAGTGATGGTATCGGTAGGTGTGGTAAAAACCACAGATAGTTAGTTCCGGGTTTTCTTCCTTGAAACAAATTGCATTTAAAGAGGAACAACGCCGCAGTTGAGTTTCGCAGTTAAATCTAATTGGATAGCTTTGAGCC